AGTTTCCTGCTCCAAGGCCGCCGACCCTGCCACCTGGATAATCTCGGAGACCCGACCAGGAAGCGAGAGCCAGCAAGGTCTCGACCCAGACCTCCTCTCAGCCATGTCTGGACCTGTGACCACCCCCATTTGGGTGTGGTCAGCTCTACAGATGGGGGGGGGTGTGAAGATCTCATTACAATTCCCCTTTTGGTCTAAAGAAACAATTTAGCCTTGATGCAAAACTATATACAAAGATAGCAAATATCAAGTATGCTCTAGGAGAAGGAAATGTAAGAACATACACACTTAAGACCTATTGCTAGAAGCAACTAGAGCAAATATATCCAATTCAAGGGAAAAGGAGGCAATGAACGAGACATGGTTGGGATATTGTATGTATGCTATGCCCTCAATATCAAGGACATGATCGTTTCTAACAAGCCCCCTTTTTTCTTTTTTTATATAATTTTTTAAAATTTAAATTAGAAACAAGCTTGCTTCACATGTCAACCAGCTTCCTCCCCTCCTCCTTTGTCCCTCCACCAGTCCCTAGGCCCTCCACCCAATCCCCACACCATTCCCCAGGGAGGGTGAGGCCCTGCATCGGGGTTCTCCCGAGTCTGTCATTTCATCCAGGGCAGGGCCTAGGCCCTTCCCCATGTGTCCAGACTGAGAGAGCATCCCTCCATGTGGAATACACCTCCTTTTTCTAAACAGAATTTAGGTTTCTTTGTTGTTGTTGTTGTTGTTGTTGTTTTTAACCACCAGAAAACTTTCTTTGAGCTGATCTTCACTGGAGTGGTTGTGCCTCCCATCAGAACTGACAGATGACAATGCAGAAGGCAATGGAGGAGCTATGCTGTCACCCTGTGCTGTCATCACGAAAAACCACAAAGTGGGCACCCGAAACAACAGAGGCATGCCCTGTGTCATTGCCACAGGGCAGAAGGCCAAGTCAAGCTGTGATGGAGCTGTGGTCCCTCTACAATGCTGGGTAGCAGTCTTCTCCACCTCTCCCTAGCATCACTGGGGTGTGGCAGAACCATACCAGTTCTTACCTGCTACTAATCTGTATTACACATCTCTTGTGACCAAAGCACCTTAAGGAACAAAGGGTCATTTCATCTCACTGTTTGAGGGTGTGCTTTCTCACCCCAACTAGGCCAGTCTACAGGGTTCCCCATAGGCATGTTCGGAGTCTTGTCTCCCTGCTGACTCTGCATCCCGCCAAGTGGCACCTGACTGGATGATGGGTCCCCTCTGCTGGCTAGGATGCCCATTACAGCTCCACAGCCTCACTGGGGACCTCATTGTAGTTCTCACCAGTTTCCAAATAAGGTCATTGTATAGGTGCTAGGATTAGGACCAAAGCATACATTCTTGGGTCATAATTTCACCCAAGGTGAGAGGAAGGACAACAGTGGTGCTTGTGTGGACCTTAGCAGTCCTGGTGTGGCAGGAGGGAGGAGGGGGTGAGCAGGAGGACCTTTTGCTGAAAGGGATGCTGAGCACGAAGACACAAACTCCTGCAGGTCCACCTCTAGCTGCCATGTTCCAGTTTCCATTCCGATGCCTTTGTGAATGTGGGATCATGTCACCTACAGTATAGTGGATAGAATTTGAATATCTTGATTTGTGGGGCAAAGCACATAGTCTGCCTTTCAAGTCGAGTTTTGGCTAGACAGGTAATTGGAACTGGGTCAAGGTAAGCAGGAAAAGTGGAGAGGAAGTGGTGACTTTGTCTGCAGTTCTGACTTCTGGCATGTTCTCCAAAGTCAGACAACCTGTGGCCACTGGGGGACTCTGCTGTCTGATGCCCACTGTCCTGAGACTCACTCTCACTGAGAGGCAGAGGGAATGTGCTGCCTGGAGTCATATACTTCCTCCTGCTCCAAAGGCAAGAAGCCTGGCATTAGACTGAAATAAAAGCCAGACAACCAGAGGCTGCCTTTCCAGTGTCATACCAGCTTGACTTAGACGATAACCACAAAGTAGAAGGGTTACTTTTGCTGCCTGAGTTAAAAATATAAAACGGTAGAAGCGAGTTTCCCAACAGCACGTTCATGACACACAGGGTTTTCTAGTTCTCTCTGGAGGACCTGGAGCGTTCTCTAGCACACAGAGAGCTAAATTAAGACTGATTTACTTCAGTCAGTTACAGGGATAAAGAGAAGAAGTAGGAATTAGCAGGTGGGACTAGGAAGGACCCAAGTTTTTCTATTAGTCAGACCCAGGTTCAAATCCTGACCTGCCATTTCCAACTACACAACTACACAAACCAATCTTGTCATTTTATAGAAATGTATGGAGTTTAAGCCAGGATTGTTGGGGGATTGCACCTGAAAATGCTTGAACCTTCCTGGGGTCTTTGGTAGACATATCTCGCTATAGTGCCTCTGTGAAAGAGGAAGCCAGTGAGAGAAGTGAGTGATGGGTTGAATTATGTTCCCTCTGAAGAATGTAAATCTGGTCACGAGGTGGTGGTGCATGCCTTTAATCCCAGCACTCAGGAGGCAGAGGCAGGTGGATCTCTGTGAGTTCAATACCAGCCTGGTTTACAAGACCTAGTTCCAGGACAGCCTCCAAAGCCACAGAGAAACCCTGTCTTGAACCCCTTCCCCCCAAAAAAGAATGTAAATCTGACTCAGAGTGGTTTTATTTGGAAGTAGTCTTTGCAAAGGTAATCCAGTTATACTGAGGTCACTGGTGCAGGGCCATCTCTGATACAATAGGATCTGTGTCCTTGTAATAGGGGCTATTGGACACAGAGACACACACATACATGCAAAAAGACACAGAGAGAAGATGAGTGATCTTAACTGTTAACTTGATTGAACTAGCAAGGACCTGAAAGCCAGGTATGGCAGCTTACACTTGAGATCCCAATATTCAGGAGGCTGAGGCAGGAGGACTGCAGAAGTTTCAAGGCCACCTTGAACTGCCCAGTGAGTGCCAGGCCAGTATGAGCAACAGAGTGAGACCTTACCACAAATAATAAAGCCATGAGAGATGGAGAGGGAGCAAAACACCGAGCCACATCTTTGGTGTGTCAGTGAGGGCATCTTTAGTGTTGTTCAGATCCTGAAAGCTCTGACCCTGTGGATGGCTTGATGTGTTGATGAGTTCAGTATGATGGCATTAGTGAAAGTGAAAGGTAGGGGGTGGGGCCTAGTTGTAGGCAGCATCTAGGAACGTGCTCCCGGAGGCTACGGCTTACCATGCCCTCTGCCTATACCTCTAGCTTTTGCTTCCTGTCTACCATGAAGCTCCTCAGAACCACACTTCAGCTTCCATGATTTTCTGCTGCACAACAGAAGCAGAAATAGCCAAGTGACCATAGACTGACTATCAGTCACTCAAAAGTAACTCTCGTCACACAAATTATTTCTGTCAGGCACTTGGTCAACAGTAAGAGAATGGCCATCCGCAAACCATAGAAAGGGGCTCAGAGCAGGTCCCTCCACAGAGTCTTCAGGGAATCATCACCTCTAACTCAGACATTTGGATTTCAGGGCAGTAAGCAATGTCATTTCCACTCTGGGCTGTGGGACATTGGCCCAGGATACCTAAACACAAGGACACAAGTATCACCACAGTGGGACATCTGATGTCATGGTGGGTGTATCTGGGTGGGAGGTCTAGCACCCACCTGTGTATGCCGTACCAGCTAGGGATGTTCTGCTGAAGGGTCTCCATAGGCTCATAGCACGTTTCCCTTGTCGGTGGAGACACACTGTTTGCTTGGAGGTGCAGCTGTTTTATTGCTTCCTTTGCTCTTCTGGCTAATTAGATCTACAGGGAGGCTAGAACACCCTGAGCACAGGGGAAGCCTTGGATGCACCGCGGGACCACTGCAGATCCCCAAAGCATGTATTGAGTGTGCCTCTGACATCACATGCTGTAGTGGTGTGTAATTACAGGCGGTATTATTAAACTGTGAACTGGGAAGCTGGAAAACATGCAATTTGGTGAGCTCCATCTCCTGCCTGCTGTAATTACATGCCTCTCCTTCAGTTGACATTGTGTTTACAGGCGGTACTGCCTGGGCTCCTGCCACGCTTGTTAATATGGGGACATCAGGGAATATGCCAAGGTGATAGGTCACAGGCAAACATCATACTGGTCTTATTTGGGACCTAATCTTTTATTCACACCATGATGTGATAAGTTTGTCCAAACTTACTGAATGCTGGCTAGAAAATGAATGATTTCATATTTCCTCTCTTTTTAGTCTCTCTTGTGCATTTTGTCTCAAGATGTCCTACTTTGGCCTCCAAGATGTAATTATTTAAATATGGGGGCTAGTCACGATTAGCTTGGATGAATGAATCTGGAATTTGAAAACATTTTGAAAATCTAGAACCTGAACCTTTGGGGCTTACAGCCAAGTGTCTGTCTTCTATATTGGACATTGGGGCAGAGCACAATGGGGCTGGTCTGTGCATCACAGGGTGTTCATGAGATCCCTGCCTTCTAACATCGAGATGCCAGCAGTCACACACTCGCAGATAAGGAAAGTGTCTCCAGACATGCTCACATGACTCTTCAGAGGCAAAAATGCCATCACCAGGCATTCAGGGTTACAGGAAGAGCGTAAGGCTCATGTGAGTATGAACAAGACAAAGGTAGATATGAAATGCCATCCTAGCTTCTGTATGGCAACCATTGGGTCCCACAATCCCAGGACATTGACCCTTGCTGAAGTCAGGGATCTTGTTTTTCAGATTTTGTGGAGTGGTATTAATCATGGGGTCATCAATAGATCAGTAAATTCTGGCTTCTTCTGTCTAGAGAATTTTCACATGATGTCTCTGGCTCCAGGATTTGGAAGAGAAGGACCATGTCTTCCTTCTTCCCTCTCATGACATCCCCACCACCGTGGCACTGATGAGCATTTTGTGTTTGTGGTTTCTCTGACTATGTTCATTGCAGGCCTTGGGTACTACAGAAGACAACCCTCATTCCATGCCATGTCCTTGGCCAGCCCCAGATATTAGCTATCAGAGCAGAACCACAGTCTCTTTATGACAAGTCCCTTGGTGTCACCAAGGCCAAATAAGCCCTCAGTTTCACTTGCTCTTGGTTGACATAGAAAAATCTCAAGTTTTGAAGGTCATGCAGCTAGCAACACATTATTAGTCTCCTGCCAGCTTTGCTGTGGATGACACGTCTGCCATGTGCATTGTGATGGCATGGTTGCCTAGGTTACTCTTCAGAGTTTGGAAGGCCATTTCTGAAAACACTGACCCCTTTGGGCCCCCAGTATCTGATGGCTGACAGGAATGAGAGGAAAAGGCTTGGCTTCTCTGCCTTCATGTTGTCTCTCCCCCTTTCTGGACTGACTCAGTTCAAGGTAAAGGCATTGGTCATTTGAGAAACATTTTTCTCAGTTATCTCACAGGCTGACTTGACTTAGATTCACTGAGTCTCTCTCTCCCCTTCAAAGATACTTGCCAACTGAATGACTAGAAACAGCGCACCATGAAGGGAGTGAAAAGAGGTGGCACTTGAGTTCTGGGGAGATCTTCACCTGTTCCCAGAAACCACACAAATATTCCTTCCATTCTTTAGCCCACGTGTCCCCTTTAATATTCCTATACAATATCTGTGACCTCTCAGCTACAAGCCCTGGGTGTGAATTACCTGAGTCTTGTATCAGATAGCTTTCCTTTCTGCTCCTCCTCCATTCTTTGTCCCCTGAATGAATACAGCCTCTCTTTCTGGCTACAACATCCAGGCAGAGCATCCATCAGGGTAAGTGTGCTGCAGGGATACCAGCCCCTGTGTCAAAGGACTGGGAAGAGGCACTTGCCTCAAGCAGGTGGTAAGAGGCCATTTTCTTTTGTGAGATGAATTTCTGGACTCGGGTTTGGTGACATCAGGAAAGTTCTTTATATGGTGTATCAACTTGTTTGTTATCAAAATCAGGCCCACAGCTCCAGAGGTGGTAGTGGGAAGGGGACCTCACTTACAGAGGATAGGTGTGGATGGGGCCAGGTGTAAGCTGACCAGGCTTTCCTAGGCTTGGTTTTTCATCCAGCACTTGTCTTCTTGCCTCTGAAAGCGTTATGATATTGTGATAGGGGCCGGATAAATGTCCTCTGTGTCTGTTTTCTCTGTTTAATTTTCCTATAAAGTGGGAATGGGGGAAGGAAGCCATAGACAATCTAACTACTCCCATTTGTCAAAATCAGAGCCTGGCCATGCTGTCTCCCAGATCCCAGGGTGCCTGGGCACTTTGTTTGTGGACATGATGCCTCCTTCATAACGACACAGCCTGCCTCGCTGTCTCTCTGCCTACAGTATCTTCCCATAGCTTCTTCCTATACCCCTCTGAGGACCATCAGGTTTCCCGATTAGCACCCCAGCTTTGGAGAATGCCCCTCTGTCCTGACCAGCTTTGCTTTGTGGTTTCTTCTTCCTGTGTGGTATTAAGAAGGGGCTTGTCCTGCAGTTATGCCAATCTCCTCTTCTGAGAAGGTATAGGGGGATATGACAGAGTCTTTGACCCCTTCCTATTGACCCACAATCCTCTGCTAAGACTCCCATTCCTTAGCACAGGTCTGACTAGAAGGCTTTTAAATTCTCTCCTTTCCAGAGGGGGCATTAGCACCACATCAAGGCCAAAGAATGTTGTTTGTGCTTTTATAGAAGTCTGTTTAATTGCTAAAGAAAGGCACTTGCTAACCTACTAAAACACTGCTAAATCTATAAAAGACTTGTTTACCTGGAGAATCCTCCTTAGTCTTTGACAGCACCCCTCCACTGAAGTTTAGAGTGAGATTTACTGTCCTTTGTAGCCTGTATTCTCAGTCCCCTCACCTCATGAAGCCTTTCTTAGCCTGCAGCCCCAACAAGCGCGGTTGGCCATGTATGTCAAGATCATGATAAGTAGTCTTGATGGATAATTTTGCCAGAGTCACATGTGTGTACTTGAGGACTGCTTCTCCCACCAGGAAAGTGCAGGGAAAGAGAGGATCAACTTCTCCTGACTGTGGACAGTCCCAGGAATGTGAACTCTGTTTCCAAGGGATCTCTGGGTGGGAGAGCTTCATTCAGAAAGCTAGAAGCTTGTTCTGCTTCAGGGCATAGGTCCTGTTGGAGAGTGGAAGTTGGAACCAGCAGTTCTGATTCTGATTCTCTGGTCTACATCTTCAGGACCTTCCAAACACAGCTTGTAGCCTGGGCATTCAAGCACAGGATGGGAAATGAGTGGGCTGCCTCATTTGAGTGTGGGATAAAACAGGTATGAAAAGCTTAAAGCTCTCCTGAAATGGATGACACTGCTGGTCTGGGTTAGCTCTCAAGGCTCTTTGTGGCAGAAGGGGATGTTTTAATACTTTAAAAACACTCCTGAATGGAGGGCTAGAACAATGATTCTCTCTGCTCACTATTCTGCAGCAAAAGGGGACTGGCAAGGGACTCTGCTGCTGTTTTACCCCTAGGAGCCTTCCATAGGTGAGATACAAGAGGACATCCATGATGTCTAGGCCAGAGGGACATAAACATAGTCTGTCCTTATCCTGCTGGGTCTACATCTCCAGCCTACATCACAAGGGAGTCTTCAGAAGAATTTGACTTGTGCTTCAGTATGTCTTTGACTTTTTTGGGTAGAGTCAGCCTCCATCTCCAGCTTCATTTAGGAAAATTATTATGTAAGGCAATTCATCATCTTACAATTATGACTACCCACACTTCTGTCTTAGGAATTGGTTGGGGTGCATGTCTTCTTGTGGCCAACTGTTTGGGAAGAAACACATTACGATGAATGTGAAAGATGGGGATTCTGGGATGGAATAAATACCACTATCCCATAACACAGATGTGCTACTAGGAAGGCTATCTTTACCAGCCAACTTAGCTGGGCTCTGGAACCCACCTGTTCAATGAAGAATTGGTACTTCATTTAATGTTTCTGTGGAGGTATCTTATCAGTTAATGGTATAATTTATATTGGACAGTGTCTTCTTGTTGCTGTCCTCAGTTCTTGTCTTCTTATAGGAGATACCCAGACAAGAGACAGACTGTTTAGTTAGCAAAGCAGAGCAAGGGAGCCTCCCAGAGAGACTGGAGTGGACTGCCCAAACGGTTCTGTGGTGTGGGTTTTTTAATTGGACCTGGTGGTACAAAATTACTATCCAAGCAACCCAGGAGGCCGAGGCAAGAGGAACATAGCTTGCAAGGTAATCATGGTTTCCAAATGAAGTGGATAATTTAATGGAATCCAGTATCAATATAAAAAAACATAAGAAGAAAGCTGGGAATGTAGCTGGGTGGTGGAACACTTGCCTAGCCTATTGAGGCTTTAGGTTCAATTCCCAGTACTATAAATTCCATTGCTTTCACCATTTTTAATGGTTTCTTCTCCTTGGGTACCGCCTCTGTTTTTTCTCACTTACCTTACCTAACAGGATATTCATTAGTGGCTATATACAGTTGATGGAACAAGCCTTCACTCCTTAATTTCTATATGGGAGAAGAACCCAACTCCATCCTTAAAAATGTTGAGCCACAAAGGGCCATTTTTAACTATCAGAAGATGCAGCTTCCCAGATGCAGTGGTTTCCTTGGTTACCTCATGTTTAACTACTCCTCCCTAGATGTGCCTAGCTGCAAAAGGGTAGGTCCCTTATAACACCTTCTTGCCTCTGCTAATGTTTGCCTAGCTATCTGCTCTAACACCACCACCCCAAATTCATAGCTTAGAACCTCAGAGGGGAAGCCTTATTCTGAAACAGACTTTGTAGAAGTGATGGCATTGAGTGAACTGATTCAAAGGAACCCTAAGTCCAAAGGCAATGTCTTCCTAGAAGACGGATGATGACGACGCAAAGGTACAAAAGAAGGGACCATGTGAAAATAGGTAGGAACTAGAATAACAGAGCAAGAAGTCACGGGATGCTTGGTATCACCCGGAACTGGAAGAGGTGGGAAAGAACTCCTAGAAGTTGCAGAAAGAGCACAATCCTGTTGCTGTCCTCCCAGTCCTGTTGACAGTCTCGAAGCTCTCTTGATGTCCTGCCAGTGGTGTTGACGCCTCCCAGTTCTATTGCTGTCCTCCCAGTCCTGTTGATATCTTGGCTTAGGGTCACTGAGCTCTTGAACTTGAGACAATAACTTTCCATTGCCTTACTTGATATGGTTGTGGAGTTTGTTGTGGTTGCCCTGGGAAATGATTTTCCTCCATACCCAATGCCAGGCATAATCCATGTCCTGCAGGTGGGTGACTGGGTCCTGGTGTGAGTCAGAGAAGTACATGGATGCCCTGGTGAAGGTTCAGCACTTAGGGTCTTGTGCACCTTTCTTCCCTTCGTGTGCAATACACCCATTTGATTCTAAAGAAAAGCCTGATCAGAGAAATCTTCTCAAAATAGAAAAGTACTCAGGTTCTGGGGTAGGGGCAATGGCCTTGTTTACTTGAGAAACCTGCCAGCCAATGGGACCAAAGTTAGCTCTGAAGATCTGCCCTCCCTCACCACAGAGGAATAAAATCCAATGGAAAGGGCAGGGGTGTGGTTCTGCTAGTAGAGTGCTTGCCCAGCATGCACAAAGTCCGGGGTTCAAGCCATAGTTCCTTATCAAGCATATGCTGTGGTATATGGTGTATGCCTACACTCTTGGTACTTGGAAGTTGGAGACAGAACAATTAGCAACTCAAGGCCATCCAGAGCTATGTAGTGAACTCAAGGCCATCCTGCAATAATTGAGACCCTGTCTCAAATAGAACAAAGAGATTTTGATGAAATGAAAGCAAAGAAAATGACCAATGAATCCATTTAGCAGATTGCTAATTGAAAGAGAGGAGAGGCCCACAGAGGTAGGAGGCCACTGGGTAGAAAACCTGCTTATTTTATGTAATACAAAGAAGGGAAGGGCTTCCCAGAGGTAATGAGATCTGAGCTCTCCTGGAAAAAATTTGCATGCTTACTGTAGGATTTTAAGCTGGGCCTTATGTTCTCTAGGTCATTTACATCCACTAGGGCATGTTAATTGCAGTGAAATTGGCTATGCTAAATGCAACTTTGGATATTTAAGAGTTTTCATAAAATTGCCATAGGGCCATCTCTGAATATAAGCAGTGAGCATAGAAGGAGTATAGAGGAATCATTCCTTTCTAAAGCACAGAAGCAGTAGTGTCAAGGGAGAAAGGGCTTGCCCAGGAGGGTGAGATCTCCATTGCTACCTCCTGCAGGGATCTCCTGCTCTCTGCAACTCAAGGTTCAAAGGCAGGTAGAGAATCCAATGACTCATTATAGAGAGTGCTCAGGAGTCAACGGGGGGGGGGCATGGCTAGCCCCATTCCCAGACTTATTCTAGAAGTGATACTAGAAGGGAAAAAAACGGTGAATGACAACATTTGGAATCCTCTGTATTAGTATACGGTGTTCAAAGCAGTGAATCTTGCTTTATACTGGCTGCTAGGGAGAAATGGACTTTTAGGTGCAGTGGGCTGGAGCACCAATGCCAAAGGGCACTGCACTGGGGAGACATCTAAGTTTAGAGCTTCTATGTTCCAGTCCAGAGGTTTTTCAATTTTGTTACCTGTCGGTCACTAAGGGCTCTTGAAAAAGTCAGTGTCCATGCACTTGTCATCTCTGGGGGTCATGAAGTCAGTACTCTTTTAGGAGACAGGATCTCGTGCAGGTCAGGACTCTTGTTGTAGCTGAGGATGAACAACATTGAGTTTCTAATATTACTGCCTCTACCATTACAGGCACCACCACACTTGTCTTCTATAGTGTTGGGGGTTGAACTGAGGGCTGTGTGCATGCTACGTAAGAATGCTATCAACTGATACATTCTTAGTTCCCTGTCTCCAGATCTTAAAATAATACACTGCCACACTGGAGAACTAGAGTTCTTATCCTGAGATCCTGATTCAGCATGTCTGGAGGAAGGACTAGAACATATGTTTCTGGCAGACTCCCAGATGCATCTTGCCTTTGTTCTGTATATGTTGTGAGAACTTCAGTTAAGGGAATGATAACATGCTTCTTGTTTTTAAATGCCTACCAGCCAAATTGTAACTGACCCTGACCAAGGAGGACAGAGACAGCCAAGCTGACAAGTGTTCAGTATGCCCAGGGTTGGGGTGGGAGTTCTCAGAAGTGGCCCCTTTCTCTGATGAAGGAAAGTTGGGGTATTACTGTAGCTGTGGAAGAAGTGCTCTGGTTGGAAGATTATTGGTTTAAACTATCTTAAGCTCAACTGTAGGTGACTGATGAACAGTCAGAGCCAAATGCAAATAGGACATCAAAAAGAAGACCACCTTCCAGCCATGTGGGACCCAACACCATGAGTCAGAGAGAAAGCTGGTGTTTAAGAAATGTATCCCAGAGCTGGGCATGTAGCTCCATCAGTGAAGGACATGCATGACTTGGAGTTCATTCCCCAGAACCTATGTTTAAAAAGAGAGACACATACTCAGAGAGAGAGGGAGAGTGAGAGTGAGAGAGCGAGCAAGAGAGAGAGGAGAGAGAGAGAGAGAGAGAGAGAGAGAGAGAGAGAGAGAGAGAGAGAGAGAGAGAGAGAGAGAGAGAGAGAGAGAGAGAGAGAGAGAGATCCTGGTTGTTTATTTTTGATGCTTATTTGTAAAACACTTTCCCCCTTAACCTTTTAGACATGCCCAAGAAAATTAAGCAAGTTATACAGGATAAGAAGTAGAGATAAATTATTCAAACAGTTAGTTTGACATTTAAAAGGCTATTTATAAGAATGATCATTTCTCCAAAAAAATAAAAATAGTGAGAAACTTAAGCCTGGCAGCTCCAGCAGAGGGAGGCGCGTGCTGGTGGAAGGCTTTCAGAGTTTCTAGAAAATGAGTTCTGGGTCTGCTCAGTGCTGTTCTTGCTAACATTCCACAGCTCCCTGAGGAGGGTCCTCAAATCTCGAAACATCATTTCCATCTTGTGAAGGAGACACTGCGTGACTGTCCACATGGCCACCAGCACAGGTTACTTCTGGAATGGCAGTTTCCATTCTGCTCCCCAGAGCTCGATGCCAGCGGTAGAACAACTGGTTGCGGTTCACCGCATGTGGGTGTTGGTGGCATCACACCGGAAGTATGTGGTGCCGCACACGTGGGTGGACGCTAGCTCACAATTCAAGTAGGAGGCGACTCTGCTTGGAAAAAAATTCAGTCCCTCCCCACTCCCTCTCCATTATGTTCCATGCCTGATTTTGTTTTATCTAATAAGTTGTAACTCTTCATTTTCCTGACTCTATACTTGTTACATGGTGTGGGAACTCATTCAGCCAATAGCCTTTGATATACCTGTCCCTTTGGGGCGGAGTCTCAGGTGCTACTTGGGGCCCGGGACCACCACGTGTGGTGGTTACAAATCAGAGTGCAACACTCTGCTTCTCCAGAGCAGAAGACCTCAGTGTCTGTCTTCCTTCATTGGCTGAGTGTTTCTCAAATAAATACTTGATATTCTTTTATTCAGGCATTTGTGGACTTCTTTACTATGCCCACATATACACAGTGAAACCAGGATGGGACCCAAAGCTTGGGAAACCCATGTGGTCCACTGTTGTGACTGTAGATGAAGACTGTGATCTTCTTGTCAGATGGCATCCCTATAGTGACAAGGCACCAGTGCACTAGGTGTGGTCAGAGCAATATTAACCCCAGGAAGAAGGATCCTACTGGATACCACCCGTCATGACTAGGGTCATATAGTCAGTTCTCTCTTCAGGGAAGAGAAAACGAACAACTTAAAAATATAGATCTAAAACTGTAATGCGAATAATAAGTGGAAAATATTCATAAAGTAAGTGTCACATGAATGAGACCAGGTGACTGATGCATGCGTCCTTTGGGTAAGGGCCACTGGCAGTCCTTCCTCTCCACAATGGTTAATTGCTGTTAGCCATGGTGACTAGGCTGTGCTGTAGACACTGGAAGCCATTGATTGGAGCCAATTGAACCTATCTTATCACCGTCTCCTGTGCATCCAGCCTTTATGTCATCCAGCCTCTTGAACTTCCTTCCACATATAAGTTAGTGGGAGGGTGTGGTTTGTCTTTCTGTCCTCCAGGACCACCCATAATCCTGCAAATGACAGGATTCCTCTCTTCTGTTGGCCAAATCATGTTCCATGGTGTCTACCCACCACATTTGTTACATCTGTTCCTCTGCTAATAGTCATTTAAGTTGTTTCCATGTGTTATTATGGTTAGAACAGTGCTGCAGTGAGCATGACAAGCAGGTGTGTCCCTGACAGATGAAGCTAATTTCTTTTGGTTGTACTCCAGTTGTTTGAATTACTGGTTTACATGGTAGTTCTAAAATCAACAAACCACTATAATATTACGTGTGTGTGTGTGTGTGTGTGTGAGTGAGAGAGAGAGCGAGAGAGAGCGAGAGCGAGAGAGAGAGAGAGAGAGAGAGAGAGAGAGAGAGAGAGAGAGAGAGAGAGTGCTATGACACACATGTGTAGGTCAGAGGACAGAATGTGGGAGTCTGTTCTCTCCTTTCACCTTGTGCCTCCCTGGTGTAGAACTCAGGTAGTCAGGCTTGTTGGCAAGTGTCTTTACCTACTGAACCATCTCACTGTTCACAGCTCCAGTTTTTATTGTCCATAGCATGCTACTTTCCCACCACCATTATATGGAGCTCTCTTTTCTGTGTCTTTGCTAGTATTTGCCTTTTTTCTTTTGTCTTTGTAATACCATCCATTCCAACCAAAGCGAAGCAACTCCCTTTGTGGTTTAGATTTTCATCTCACTGATAGCGAGAATATTGAACATTTTCATTTTCATATTCCTGCTGGCCATCTGTATGTCCTCCTTTGAGAAATGTATTTTCACATCATTCTCTCATTTTAAAACCAGATCATTTAGTTTTCATGCCCTTGATTGGGTTCCTACTACACCCAGAGACTAACCCATTACCAGACAAACAGTCTGCAATTATTTCCTCCCACTCTTTTCTCTCTGTTGGCCGTTCATTTATTGTTCTGGTACTTTATCGTTTGATGTAATTCTGCTTGCCAATTTATACTTCTGAAGCTTGTGTTTTGGATTCACATCCAAAGAATTCTTTCCCAGACCAATGTCCTGGAGCATCCCTCCTGGTTTTCACTGCTCCATAGTTCCAGCACTTACATTTGCATATCTGACCCACTTTGATTTGACATTTTTTAGATGCTGAGTGTAGTGGTTTGAATGACAATGGGTCCATGGGCTGATATGTTTCAGTGGTTGGTTCCCAGTTAGGGGACTGTTTGGGAAGGAACAGGAATTGGATCTTGTGGGAGGATATGTGTCACTGGGAGGTGCGCATGGAGCCTCATAAGTCTACACCAGATGCAGTCAATCTCCCTCTGCCTCCTGCCTGTGCATCAGGATGTAAGCCCTCAGCTCCTGCTCTAGAATCAGGATGTAAGCCCTCAGCTCCTGCTCTAGAATCAGGATGTAAGCTCTCAGCTCCTGCTCTAGAATCAGGATGTAAGACCTCAGTTCCTTCTCTAGAATCAGGATGTAAGCCCTCAGTTCCTTCTCTAGAATCAGGATGTAAGCCCTCAGTTCCTTCTCTAGAATCAGGATGTAAGCCCTCAGCTCCTGCTCTAGAATCAGGATGTAAGCCCTCAGCTCCTGCTCTAGAATCAGGATGTAAGCCCTCAGTTCCTGCTCTAGAATCAGGATGTAAGCCCTCAGCTCCTGCTCCAGCATCAGGATGTAAGCCCTCAGCTCCTGCTCTAGAATCAGGATGTAAGCTCTTAGCTCCTGCTCTAGAATCAGGATGTAAGCTCTCAGCTCCTGCTCTAGCACTGTTCCTGCCGGCTTGCTACCATAGTCCATGATGAGCATGGACTAACCCTCTGAACTATAAGCAAGTCCACAACTACTTTCAAAAGTTACCTTGGTCCTGGTGTCTCTTCACAGCAACAGAACACTTACTAAGACACTGAGGTATTAGGGTCTAGTTTTATTCCTTCTTCCATGAATATCCAGATTCTAGGATTCTTTGTTGATGAGTCTGCCCTTTCTTCACCAAGTATATATATATATGAGAAGAAATATATGTGTATATACATATATATATATATATATATATATATGCACTTTTTGACAAACAATTGACTGCAAACAAATTTATTCCTGGGTTAAAAAATGTTTTCTTGACCTCTGTGTTTTTTTTATGCCAATACCACATTGTTTTTGTCACTCTAGCTTTGTATGTTTTTGAAGTCAGACACTACAATAATTCCAGGTTTTTGTTTTTGTTTGGTTTTTCTGCTCAGCAATTTTTGACTCTTTCAGTTTTTCCATGATCCCAAAATTTAGGGAGTATTTCCTATTTCTGCCAAGAAAGACACCAATATTTTGATAGGGACTGCACTGAGTACTGGTGATGGTATCTCTTTTTTTAATCTTTGATTTTATTTCTGTAGGGCTCTCTCCCTTTTTCCCTTCAGTGTAGTTTTATCAATTCCATTTACTTAAATTAAAATCTTAGCTTTATTTATCTTTCATAGTTTTGAATCTGAATTTGATATGTATCACTTTTTTATATCTCATAACTGAAGGCTTAGCTTCTTGGTTTTTAGTTCTGATCCAGTGTCCTAGTCAGGATGCCACCCACTATTCCATTGGTTTCCTCAGTTTTGCTTGTCTGTGACAACTCCTCACTTGTTCCTCTTCATTTTTCCTCATCTTGGCAGTTTTGAGGATTGCTTCTTGAGCCTTTAGTAATCTTTAGCATGTTCTCTCTGATGTCTTCCCTCAGTGTGTATTCAATGGCAACCATTCTTAGTGTGATGCTGCTGCAGAGGGCTCACTGGGTATATACGATCACACTGTGAAACCTGAGTTTGCAAGTTTATATTATTTAAATAAAATCAGCCTTGAGTCAGGAGGTGGAGCCAGCAACTAACTGACAGAAAGTAATAACAAAGAGTCAGGAGTCCAGAAAACAGAGACATGCACAGGAAGTAGAAGGGAGGGTCTTTGAGTGTGGTGGTCCTTTTTGGTTTGGAGCTTTGGAGGAGGTGCTCTCTTTCTCAGACTCCAGTGAAGAAGAAAGTCAGCTGGTTGCTCCTCAACCTCTCTGAGCTAGCAGGTTTTCACCCCAGCCTCTGACTCCTGAGTCTTATTGGTAAATAGAATGATAGCAATTTAGTTAAAAACTACATTTGGTGGTGGTGGCAGGGATGTGAAAGTCCCAGTGGACCACTGTCTGAGAAGTGAGCCAGTACTTGTAGAGCCACAATTACTGGCTGAAACAGCAGTAGATTCACGTTCAGCTGCTGTGCCCATGGGAAAACAGCTGAAGGTGATCTTAGCCCTTGGGGTTTGATGATGGCGGTTGGGCAACTACAGAGCAGAGTTACTGCTTTACATTTCTATAACTTTATTCTTTAGAAGTGAGTCGTGAGGTGTAACCCAAAGTTGAAGGGGTTTCATCCATCTTGGGGATTCCTATGTATTGTCTTTTAGAAAAATACGCCTTCAAATATTTCCTAGTTGTACTCGTTTATGAACAAAGACATCAGTGAACCAGATAGGTCAAGTTCATGCAGAGCATGGTGGATATTGGTGTTTCTTGGGCAGGACTGTGGAATGGCCAAGGCATTGGCTTTGATGGATGCCTCCTCAAAGGCAGAGCTTTGTGAGATTGAACACATGACCCTTGACCTTTTGCAGAACTGTACTGACCACTGACCCCTGGTGTGGAATGGGCCTCTGCCCCTCTCTGAGACCCACTGCAAGACAGTAGTGGCTTGGGGCAATTGAGAACCTCCCTGGAGTACATAGACAGTCATAATGAATGGAGACATCACAGACAGCTTCCTGAATGAAGGTGGAACTGACAGCCTCCTCTTTCCAAGGCTGTAATTAAAGAAGCGGTTGAGAAATGTTATCTTTCCTCTCCTGAATATTCAAACTATCTGTCACAAACATATTGTTAAACTCCCCCTTAGGTCTCAGTTGTCACTTTCAGCATGCCTGCTTGCAGAGATGGTTTGCTCTAGAGTTCTTTGTACAATAGAGCTCTTCGGTCCTCAAAGGGCTATCCGTGTCTTCAGTGGGAGGAGGGTAGTTCAAAGCAAAGCAACGCTACTGCAAGTCTTTATCAATTGTTCCAGTTCACCGTGCTTGGAGCAATCCCATCTCACCCCCAGCCTTTCCACTGAGCTGTCTTCCTATTAAATTTCTGCATGGGGAGCTCAACAGTGTGTGCCAAAATAGAACAGGCTCTGCTGTCCTTAGCTGAGCTCTGCCAGGGGAGGCAAGGCTTTTGTTTCTCTAATTTAATCTGTGGTTGCTTTCACTTGTGGTCTTCACTGTGACTTGCTCCATCACGGATGAAGCTCTGTGTCCGTGGTGTACACAGGGCAGAAAGGTTGTCAGGGATGTGTTTACCTGGTGGGAGCCATCTCAAGAGCTATCATTCTCCAACCCATCCCTCTGCCACTGCTGCAGGCTCAGAATCC